AAAACTACTTAACTACTTGCCATAAACAATTAAGTTGTCCTAAAACCAAGCAAAAAGTTGTGTGGCTTAAGCTCATTTTAAATAAGTAGTAACAAAAATATAAAATTATAACAGCATAATATAAATAACAAACAGTCATTCTCAAAAAGTGTTTGAGAACAAAGAAAAAAAAACTGTATAAAGTGTTGAAAACTGCTAAACACATGGAGCTTAATATAGACAATATATTTTCAGCACATTAGAGACGTATTAGCTCACAGTGTAGATCTAACCAGTTATAGTTTCAGGTTCCCACTGAACTCCATTGTGTTTTTCTGTGGAAAACAGAAGTCATTTGGAAACTGAAACTGTTCAGCTTTACCAGCAATACAAGTGATTTTTTTTTGTCCTATAAAGAGGAGCCAATGTGTCCAATGTATTGTATTGTCCCACCCAATCGATCTCTACAATGCTTTAGTGCATATTCATCTTGATAAATGAGGTAGAAGCCAAACGTGCTTGCTATATTACACGTATGCAAATATATGATACCACTAGATAAACGAAAATATGAGAATGATAGAAATATTATAGAGAAAAATGCATTCACTTGCTAAAAAAAAGAGAAATGGAAATATTGTTTTTTGTGAAAAAATATTCAATTCAATTCAGCTTTATTTGTATAGCGCTATTACAATGTAGGTTGTGTCAAAGCAGCTTCACATAAATGGTCATAGTAACTGGAACAGTGTGGTTCAGTTTTTAGTGTTTAAGTTCAGTTCAGTTCAGTTTAGCTCAGTTCAGTGTGATTTAATCATTACTGAGAGTTCAAACACTGAAGAGCAAATTCATCGATGCGTAGCTCTACCAATCCTGAACCATGCGAGGCAGTGGCGACAGCGGAGAGGGAAAAAAAAATTCACCTGATGGGAGTGAAGAAAAAAAACCTTGAGGGAACCAGACTCAGTTGGGCACGATCATTTTAATTTCTCCGCTGGCCAAAAGTCTTGTGCAGAGCTTCATTCGCCGTGGTTTAGGCACGTATATACTAACAAACAAACACACCATAACATTCAATGGGAGAAATTGGAGTTATACAGTATATTGGCTTAAATGTAATATTTATATATTTACAGATAGTGAGGAAATGATGAATTTGGATGTCTGGGTCAAAAGTCCCTTTAAATTCCATATGTGTCAAAGTAATAAAAAAAAGAATATCTGCTTTATTCATATTGTACTTGATGTTTTTGTAAACGAATAAGAAAAGTCATGATATATTTTAGTGTTTAAAGTGTTGAATTTATTATGAAATAATATAAATGTGTGTTTTAAAAGTTCTTTGAGAATTGTAGTTAGTTTATTATCAGCCAATGTTTTCAATGCATTCCTGCTAGAATGAGTCACACTTTCGGTTTCTTTTTTTGTTCTTCTGGTCCAGATAAAAAATAAATAAATTTTAAAAAGTGTCCTTTTTTAGTGCATACATTTAGCCCTGAGAGTTCACAGCATCACTATTTTTAAGTAAACCTTAAAACACACACACACTTTAGGATGTACACTTTAAGACAGAATCACTAAACACCCAATGCTGCAAGTTGGACTAAACTTGCTGATTCTATGAGCAAACAAATAGGGCTCTATCATACACGCGGTGCAATGCGGCGCAATGTGCGATGCAATTGTTGTTTGCTAGTTTCATCTCGGTGCAAGAGTCATTTTGAGCCATGATATTTAATTAGCAAATGCATTTGCGCTTATATGTGCCCCCAAAGGCATTCTGGTCAAAAACAAGAAGGCATGTTAAGGCGCATTGCTGGCACGTTGCTATTTTAAGGAACCTAAATAGTCTGTTAAATAGATCAGATCAAAGCTGGTCTATTGTCCAGCGCAGAGCGCGTTAGTTGTGCGCCTTGCTTACACACTGCTTAATACACACAATACGCACATATCTTTACAAATGAAAAATATTTAAAATATTAAAGGATATATATATAGGGTTTAATAAGGATATATAGGATATAAATGTAAAGGATTATTTATATCCTACAAAAAATTATGTTTACAAAAAATTATTAGGATTACAAAAAATTATTAGGATTACAAAAAATTATGTTTTCTAGCCTCCATAAATATAAAACCCAAACTTTCATGCCTTCTTTATCTTGGGGGCTTTTTCAGTTTATAAATGACAATTTGCTTTTGTATAATGTTATTATTAATATCAGTATTATTTATTATATGCATATTAACATTTGCTTTATTAAAAGCAAGCTTAGATTTGTCCACTTGTCAGGTTTTGGACCATATGGGGCACAGGACATGTGTATTTTGATATAACTCAGTTTTTTTAACACACTTCGTTATTATTGTTCATTTATTCGTTTGCTGGAAATTGGAATTGAATTTAGAAATAGTTTTGAAACAAATCTTTGCGCTTAATAAACAAAATTATGTAGGCTAATGGATGCCTGTTCGTACAGCACATTCCCCTATCCACGAGAGTAAAGGCGAAAGTAAATAATGAGGTGGCTCATCTCTCATTCTCGCCTGTAGATTAAGATTTAACTGTTTTCTCTCTAGTGAAGGGATTCAGTTTTTCCATATTTATTCTCAAAACACACCTAGAACTCATTAAGAGAATAAACTCAACCCTTTTAGACCATGCGCCAAGGTGCAAAGTGGATTTTTTTCGTCCTTAAAATAGCAAAAGTGGATTCTGACACGCCCTTAATGCGTTTGCGCCCTGCGCTTTGCGCATGGACCATCAAAATATAGCCCATGTGTTTATCATCTTTTCAGCAGACTTGGTCCACTCGTTTGGTGTGCACCTGGGTTTAGGGTTGAGTTCATTTTTAATTCTCTAAACATTCAGAGAGTGAACACCCTCAACCAACAGTACCAGGACACTTTTGAGGACACAATTAATTAATTTGTCACTGCATTCAGTCACCACATAAGGTCCATCACAAGATCCTTCCTATGAATGTGTTAGCACATCTGCTTCTCTGAAACACTGTTTACATCCAATTCCAACCCGGAAACAGTGACACAGAGAGACACTCAGCATATTTGTGTACAAGATGACCTGATCTGATAACCCAAAACAAAGGCTCATAAAATTGACTAAGGTTTTAAATAAAATAAAATAAATAAATAAATAAATAAAATTCAATTAATTAAAATAGGGAGTTATGAAAATGTGGGTCTTGTATTTAAGACTGAAATTAAATTGTTTGTAGTATTCACTGATTAAGATTACATCAAGATATATGTATATAGTTAGGGTCCCCTTTGAATTTTATTTATTTTTTTATATTTTCTGAATGATGTTTAACAGAGCAAAGAAATGTTTACAGTATGTCTAATCAAATTTTTTTCTTATTTGTCTTTATTTAAAATCTTATTTGTTTTATTTTGGCTAGAATAAAAGCAGTTTTCATTTTTTTAAAAACACTTTAGGGTCAAAATTATGCATGTGGCAATAACTGTTTTCTAGGTATACAAGGTTATAAAACCGCCAAGATTTTCTGTGATACCATTCCTAAGGTATGTGTAAGATTTTTGTATTTACTTTTTTTTTAATTTTTTTTTTAGTACAATAGTATCTTCAGCAAAAAAAAACATTATCATACCAAAATATCATACCATAAATGTCATTTTAAATAGTAAAGAAATATTTGCTTATGAAACAAATTAATACAGCAGAAGTCAATGATCAATTTTCATTATTTAGCCTGACAAGTTTACAACTCCAAAATATTTTATATCTTTCAAAAATGACAATATATTGTTTTTAAAGGGGAAAATTTGTTGTTTTTTAATCCAGAAATGTAAAAAGAACTTATTTTAGAGCAGTAATCTCAACACTGTGATACTGTGAAACTGTGATCTTTTTATCCAAGGTTATCATACCGTCAGACTCTTATTATGCATTGAATTGGTTTCTTTCATATGAATTTTTGTGGACAATGTTTCTCTTACCCATTACAAAAGTAACAAATGTAGTTAAATTAAAATATATGATAATGATTTAATTTGGCAAAGGATGCAATCACAAAATCAGGCAATACATTTTGAAATGAATCCAGCATCTAATAGAGAGACAAGATACAAATAAGCTTGATACCAACTACTCTCAACCATGTCCACTATTAATAAAAATGCTATTTACTATTAACATTACTATTTTTTATATGTATATCATATGATCACTTAGTACGACAAGATGTTTCGCAGTAATGGAAAAAAAATGAAACAATTACTACATGTAGCATTTACATATTATAATAAATATATAATCACTGCATTTAATTAATTATTTAAGCAAAATAAAACAAATTACCATTTTTAAAAATGCACACAAAAATCATTAAAGAGGGACATTAAAAATGCATCTTTTATTAAGCACTAATGAACCCAAATTAAAAAATAATAAGACAAGGCAACTACACACAAAAAAAATATTCAAAGATGATTCCATGGATTTACCTATATATTTTTTTAATCAAGTGGTTGTATTTGGGCTGAAACAAACTAAATAAGTTGAACCTTAAATTCAACAAATATGAACTGTTTGCAACAGTTTTGCAGGCAACCTTTTTTCCCTGTGTGCTTAAAATTGTTCATAAGGTTTAACTTTTTGACATTGTATACATTTTTCCTCACATAATAAACAAGACAACAATACAAGCTCATCTGATAAGGATACCACAAGACAACCTAGTCAAAACACTTCAGTAACTCTACCTTGCCATTAGACATCTAAACCCGAGCACACAACAGAAAGGGAGTTCAGTGAGGAAACAGCAGCAGGGAATAAACAGCACATGAACGCACAACAAATGGCAGCTTTGTTGATTTAAGAAGAAGCTGAACGTGTGGGTCTAGTGCACAGCAGCAGCCTCATCTCCATAACACAACAACAGGCCTCACAAAGGCAACCATGGAGACAGCGGTCCTTTCACAAGAGCACAATGACAACAGCAAAAAAAAAAAAAAAAAAACAGCCCCATTCGTACCTGAATCTTCATTTTCCAGCAGGAATGCATTGGTGGTGATCCTTCAGGAGGAGCTCGACCCCTCCGCTACACACACATACACACTCACACACACAGACAAAGCCTTGGCGGAGAGGTTACATGTCCTCTGAGTAAATCCTGAGGGAGAGCTGAAGCTGATAAACACGGAAGTAGAGATGCAGATTCGACTGTCCTACGTCCACAACAGACTGAAGCAATACGTGCACACACACATACACACACACACACACATACACAGAGAGAGAGAGAGAGAGAAAGTCACTGAAAGAACTAGTCTGGGCTTGATCTACCTCTTTCTCTCTCTTTCTCTGCCGGCTAAACCAGGCACTTCCTCCAGCTGACTCCAATCAGCAGGGACGATCAGTGTGCATTATTCATGAGGGGGTGGAGACAAGCTTGTTGTTTGGTCGGTTGTGGTTTTAATCCCCGCCCCTGGGCAGATAATACAGCCCCTCCCCCCCTGAACTGTCATTTGTCGCTGTGCTGGGTTGATGTGCTCCCTGCAGTCCTTCAGAGGATTTACTACAATGGCTGTAAATGCGGTTAGTGCTTGATTAAAAATAATAATGAAAACTAAATGGAATTTTATGACAATTTATGACTTTGCTTTATTTTTACTACATTTGTAAGCGCTTAATGAAAAAAAACTCATCTAAATTTAAATGCAACTATGATTTAAATTTTATTTTATTACTTATATTAGTGCAAAAAATAAAATCTGAAAACAATTTTATTTTATTCGTCTATATGGCCTATATTTATTTTTTATAAATAATTTATTTTGTTTATTTAGTGCTTTTTTAAAAAAAGAATGTAATTTTATGACCCATGTTTTTTTACATTGTATTTAGCTTTATTTATGGTTATTAAAAACTAAATGCAATTAAAAAAAAAATTCTACATTACTAGTCAGTGCTGAAGAAAAATAACTAAATGCTAATGTCATAAAACTGTATTTAGTTGTCTGTATTAAACATAAATTCATAAATAAAATAAAATTATAAATTAATAATAAATTAAATAAGATTTAATTAAATTAAAAATAATAATAAAATAAAATTAAATTAAATTAAATTAAAATCTCAGCAGTGAGAGTTGCAAACAAAGTTGCACAATAATAAAATATACAGCCCCTCCACCCCTGAACTCTTATTTGTCACTGTTGGGTTGATGTGCTCCCTGCTGTCCTTCAAAGGGTTCACTGCATTGGCTGTAAATGCAATTAGTAGTTGATAAAAAAAAAAAAATCATATTAATTAAAGTGAATAACTAAATTAAATTTTATGAAATTGTACGACTTTTTTATTTTAACTAGCTTTATGAGTGCTTAATAAAAAACTAATCTAAATCCAAACGCAATTTTTTATTAATATTTTATATAGTTTTATTAGCTTTATTAGTACAATTTTTATTTTTATTTTATGGCCCATATTTAATTTTATTACAATTTATTTAGAATTTTTAGTGCCTATTACATAAAATCATGGAATTTTATGGCCCATGTCTTTTTAAAATTTCTTATTACTGTACTCATCAATGTTGAATAAACAAAAAAAATGCTAATGTCATAAAGCTGCATTTAGTTTTTTGTATTAAACAAAAATTAAGCAAAATAAAATTAAATACAATTAAATAAAATGATAATGTCATATAACTGCATTTAGTTATTTGTATTAAACATAAATTAAATAATTAAATAAATAAATAAAATAAATAAATAAAATAAAACACAATAAAATAAAACATAAAATTTCGTATCCCAGAACTGAGTTGCCAACAAAGTTGAACAATAAATTAAACAAAATCATAAAAAAGTCATAAAATTGCAAAAAAAAAGTCAAACCGAGTATGCTTTTCTGACAATGTAACTACACATTTTCATAAACATTAAACAAAACAAAATGCTTACATTAATAATATAACTTAATTAAACAATTCACACAATTTACAAGCTGAATTTGCTCAAACAGCACAATTCAGCAATTTGTGAACGATACTTAAACACATACACCTGCAGTTTGCTCTGGGCAGTTCTAAATAAATAAATTACACTACAAATTTATTATTTTTAACTTTTGTTTTTTTACTTCTTTTAAATAGATTGACAGAGGCTCCTCCAGCTGACCGTTAAACAGTATTCGTGAGGGGTTTCTAAGCCCCGCCCCATCCTTGAAACACGACCCCTCCCCCTAAAGAACTGTCATTTGTCCATGCGCTCAATTATTGTGCAGCCTGCCGTCCTACAGTAAGTTCAATACATTGACTACAATGAATAAGAAAAGGTCAGGAAGCTCAGATGCTCACCCAATGCAATTATTATCATTTATCCAAAAACACTGATTCACAAGACTCGCTTACATAAAAGCACTAGAAACGTAGATTTTGAAGCATTAAGCCAGCCTGGTGAAAGGGGTGCTTCTTTTTTCTTAAAAAGTGGACCTTTTTGGAGATATTCACCTCATTTTCGATTTAATTAGGAAGTTTGCATTTTAGTGACATTTTAAACACAATAATTTTACTGGATTAGCTGATGGTCATCATAACCACACATTTTGATGTACCAAAAACATGTCCTAAAGATGTAGAATGAAGAAATATGAGAACAATACCTATTTTTTCAAATACAAATTTATTACATCATATATCATTAGAAATGTAAAAAATAGGCATCTGTTAAAGTTTGAAATTATAAACTAGCATTTTTTCATTTAAATATAAATAATTTAAATAACAAATTGCCAGCACTTTCAATTCTTCACAGTCATAGTAAAGCGACAGCCCACAGAGGATTGCGCTTAGTGATTTTCAAAATTTATAATGGCATAGCAGTCAAAATGAGACAAACAAGCTCATGCATGGGACAAATTCTGGACCTTTGTCAGTTAGGGGTGGATCTTTCGAACCACCCCAACCCCCCTCTGCCTATGGCCCTGTCAAGAAGGTTGGAGACAGGAGGGCATCTTCAGGGAGTGTGAATAGCAAAATTGAAAGTGTAATTGAAATTATATTACTGAAACCAAGGACATTTAGGATTTATATCAGTTAAATAATTCAACAGACTATGAAAGAATAATGTTTCTGATAGGTATTCATTTTAGCATTATGAAGTGTCGACTATGTAATGGTGTCGGCAGTGATTAATCGCATGCAAAATAAAAGTCTGTTGTGACCATACATGCGTGTGTTATACAGTGCCCAGTATATATGAGTACACCCCTAACAAATCTATCTTTTAAATTAATATTTTTAATAAACAACATATGTTTTGCTGCTTGTTTAAACTACTTCTTTAAAATGAGCCAAACAACACAATTCGTGAGATTTCGTTGGGAAAACTGAATTGTTTTATGTTCAACCCATTTAAATTTGTAAAAACTAATACGGTAACTTAATTCGTTTTTGTCTTCCCAACAAAAAAACAATTGTGTGGAAACCAACATTTTTTGTAGTGTAGGAAGCTATACGATATTATATTTTTGCATATACAGTACATTAAATTACTCAGTCCTGAAGCCAAATGTGAAGCTTAACAAAATATCTTACGGGGTCTAACTTATTAATCTGGTGTTGCCACGGCCGAATGAACCGTTAACTCATGCAGCACATTTTTATGCAGCTGATGCCCTTTCAGCCGCAATTCATCCCTGGGAAACATCCACACACACTCATTCACACTCATACACTACGGACAATTTAGTCAACCCAATTCATCTGTACCGCATGTCTTTGGACTTGTGGAAACCATAGCACCTCAAGGAAACCAACGCTAACTTGGGGAGGACATTCAAACTCCGCACAGAAACAACAACTGACCCAGACGAGGCTCGAACCAGTGACCTTCTTGCTGTGAGGCGATCGTGCTACCCACTGCACCACCGTGACGCCCTATATAACTTATATTGTGTATTAATATAAATCAAATCTAATCTAATCTAATACAAACATGCAGCATGTTGTGGGTGAAACTAAATAAACACCATGGCAAAATTACATTTTACAGTCTAAACTGTGTCATATCAAATTTTACATAAATTGATACTCATGAGCTCAATGCAACTGTCATAATGTGAAAAATCTTTGAGGAAGTAGAAGACTAAAAGAAAGGAAACTGTGGCCACAGCTGCTCTGAGCTATTCATGTCAAAGCTCTTTCCAGTAAAGCAGTTCCAAAATACTAAAAGATCCCCCGAAGTGCCGTGAATTGTGCAGCGTTGTTCAATGTGTGACAGTTTCAACTGCAACATGAAGACAGTGTGAGGCATATATAGACTAGCTCCTCCTTTTTGAAAAAAAAAAATGTATATCACAGCTGAGCAAAAGCACATCATGACTCTTTACAGCTACAGTCAATAATAGCAATGCTGAGTCTGCATAACCCTTTTTGGCTTAAAAAAACAGCACTCAGGGTCCTCTGTATATGTACAGGTATGTGCATTTATAAATGTGTCAATTTTGTACAACTGTACATATGTGACTAGTTTATAAGTGCATATACCTGTGTATACACACTGTAAAAAAATTAATCCGTCAAATTTACGGTAAAAAAAACGGCAGCTGTGGTTGCCAGTATTTTACCTTTAAAAATATGATACAAACCATAAAAGTAACTTCTCATTTTTACAGAAAACTACCGTATTTTATTAATTTATAAATGTAATATTTCTGTATTTTGAATTACCAACATCTACACATCTTTTGTTACACAGATAGACACGTTAAAACAGCCATATGCAGGTGGTGATGAGAAAGTTACATCATGAACCAATGCTCATTACAAACAACTTTTCCCACAAGCAGAAAAGTGTATCAGTGTACAGAAGGTGCTCAGTGTTATTCACACAGTCACTAAACACCAGTATACACTGTAAAAATGGCTGTGATTTGAACAGTAAAAAAACTGTAAAAATGCTTCAGTAAAAATCCGTAATCTGATTAACTGTGTTTCCTTAATATATACGACAAATAACTGTAAATTGACTTACCCAGAATTCCCCGCATGGCACATCACTTTTTACGCTTTGTTTATTTCATGACTTTAATTTTATGCATGTCACCAATTCGAATTATATAGAGTGTTTTATTTTAAAAAGCCCCTATTTTATATATATATATATATTTTTTTTTATATGGCCCATGGCCTCTCCCCCTCAGCCTGCACTCACATTGCATATACAAAATGTATATATATGTATATATATATAGCCATATACATTTTGTATATGCAATGTGAGTGCAGGCTGAGGGGAAGAGGCCATGGGCCATATATAGTCATATTTTAGTTTTGGGGGTCTCCAACAACAGGCTGATATGCATGCAAGGTCAAAAAACACTTATAATATGCATTTATTTTTACCTAATTATCCCGACGACTCTCATTTGATTCGTTCAGCGATTTGTTTGTTCTCAAACC